TGGTTGTAGGTTCTTCCCTTTCATCACTGTAAATATGTCATGCCACTCCCTTCTAGCTTGTAGAGTTTCTGAGAAATCAGCTGTTAACCTTATGGGAGTTCCCTTGTATGTTATTTGTCATTTTTCCCTTGCTGCTTTCAATAATTTTTCTTTGTCTTTAATTTTTGCCAATTTGATTACTATGTGCCTCAGCGTGTTTCTCCTTGGGTTTATCCTGTATGGGACTCTCTGTGCTTCCTGGACTTGGGTGGCTATTTCCTTTCCCATGTTAGGGAAGTTTTCGACTATAATCTCTTCAAATATTTTCTCAGGTCTTTCTGTCTCTCTTCTCCTTCTGGAACCCCTATAATGTGAATGTTGTTGCGTTTAATGTCCCAGAGGTCTCTTAGGCTGTCTTCATTTCTTTTCATTCTTTTTTCTGTATTCTGTTCTGCAGCAGTAAGTTCCATCATTCTGTCTTCCAGGTCCCTTATCCGTTCTTCTGCCTCAGTTATTCTGCTATTGATTCCTTCTAGTGTATTTTTAATTGCAGTTATTGTATTGTTCATCTCTGTTTGTTTGTTCTTTAATTCTTCTAGGTCTTTGTTAAATATTTCTTGCACCTTCTCGATCTTTGCCTCCATTCTTTTTCCGAGGTCCTGGATCATCTTGACTATCATTATTCTAAATTCTTTTTCTGGAAGGTTGCCTATCTCCACTTCGTTTAGTTGTTTTTCTGGGGTTTTATCTTGTTCCTTCATCTGGTACATAGCCCTCTGCCTTTTCATCTTGTCTATCTTTCTGTGAATGTGGTTTTCGTTCCACAGGCTGCAGGATTGTAGCGATTCCGCTTCTAACATGCACTTGGGACTGGACCACTTCTCGTCACTTCCCACCACTACCCCTGTCATCTCCCTCAATTATTGCGGCTGATTCTTTACCCGTCTCTGTGCATGCACCCTTGTCCCTTTCCCAGAGCTCCCAGATCAGCAGCCAGAGTAATCCTGCAGTTGTGTCAGTCGCCTGCTCAAAACTCTCCAGTGGCTCCCACCTCATTAGAGTAAAGGCCAGGGTCTTTACAGTGACCCCCAGGGCCTGACATTATCTGCTCCACCTGCAATTCCCCACAACTCTCTGACCTGCTCTCCTCTTCACCATGCTCCAGCCACACTGCCCTGCTAGCTGTTTCTGGAACACGCCAGGCATGCTCCTGCCTCAGGTCCTTTGAGATGCTGTTTCCTCTGTTTAGAACGCTCTTCCCCCATCTGTGTGTATGATTTGCTTTCTAACTGCCACCCATTTGCTCTAATGTCAGCTTCTACCCTATTTAAAATTACAAAACAATAACAATTTTTTTCTGCAGCAGCTGAAAAAAATAAAATAAAATCACACACACACCCTGTGTCTCCCCTACAGTGCCTTCCCTATTGCTCTCCTCTGCTTTTTCTTCATAGCACATATTACATTCTAACCACATAAAGTACTTACTTTGTTAATTATCTTCCCCTTTAGACTGTAAACTCCCTGGGGGTAGGGATTTTAGTCTCTTTGTTCTCTCCATCATGCCCAGAACAGTGCCTGGCAAGTAGTCAGTACTTAATATTTATTGAATGAACAAATGGGGAGACACTGAAATGTGTTGAGCAGGGTAATGACATAATCTGATTTATGTTTTTTTTTAACGTTGACTTTTATCGATATATAGTTGACGTATGGTGAAATGCATGGATCTTAAGCGTTATAGTTTGATGAATTTTGACAATTACATACAGCTGTATAACCCATACCCCTACCATAATACAGAACATTTCTGTCACCCCCAAAAGCTTCCTTGTGCTTTTTCCCTGTCAACCCCACTCTTCCCACCCCATCTAGAGGCCACCGCTGTTGCGTGGTCTAGAACATCATGTAAATGGAATCATTCAGTATGAATTCTTGTGCCTGTTTTTGAGTTTCGTTGTGTTGTCATGTGTATCAGCAGTTCCTTTGTATCACTGAGAGGTAGCCATTGTATGGACATACCACAATTTGTTTATCCATTATCCTGTTCAGTGACTTTTGGATTATTTCCATATTTTGGCTATTACGACTGAACATTCATATTCAAGTCTTCTGTGGACATTTGTTTTCATTTTTCTTGGGTAAATGCCTAGGAATCGCATTACTGGGTCATAGGGTAGATGATGTTTAACTTTATGAGAAGCTGCCAAAGTGTTTTCTGAAGTGGTTCTACTGCTTTTACCTCCCCACCAGCGAGGCGTGAGAGTTCCATTTACTCCACATCCTTTTGATGCCAACATTTTGATTTATGTGTTAAGAAATTCATTCTGGTCGCTGTGTGGAGAACTGGCCCAGTGTTTCACTGTGCTGGCTCATGTGGAAAACGGTGTTGGGAGGAGGGGAGTGCCTAAAAGGAAACTCCCAGGTGGGCCACATCTCTGAATCAGGTGGAGCACATGAGCCTTGGGTCGGACGCTCAGGAAACAGGGCTTTCTGCTCAAGGGCTTTGTCATTTTCTGGTATCAGATAACCTCAAGAAGCTTTGCTTACGTTGTTTTTTGCCAGGCGATCTAAGGTGGTGTTCTTGGGTACTCTTGCCAGAGGTCAAGAGCCCCGAAGTCTGCTTGGAGATCTGAGAAAAAATGCAGAAGAAGAGCAGACAGCTGGTGGAGAAATTTGCTAGATTGGTGCTGGGAGCATTCCTGCCTGGCATCTTCCTTGGGCAGGGGTAGTTGCCTAAACGTGTGAGATACCGCACAAGACATCGATTTCCTAATTTAGAATTGGAGCCGAGGTGCTGCTTCAGAGACCTTCCTCCTGGAGGGCATGTCCTCAGACAACCAAATTATTTATCAAAACACTGCCTGGGGGGTACAGAATTAGTTTGCTGTGTGTTGGGGGTACAGGGGCCATGCCTGTTATACCCTTTCCTGGAGATGCTTCCTTCCAGAGAATCAAGGGTGGTCATTTAGCACTAAAGGATCCCAGCCACTAGGTGTGGAGGTGAACTTGGGCTGCATCTTGTTCTTTGGCTACCATGCTTTTAGATCTTTTACAGATCATTGTCCCTTATCGTTTTAGGCTGTTTAAAATGCAATTGATGACCGAATAGTTTTTTTTTTTTAATTTTCTGATCCCGAGGCCATGCCTTGGTAGCTTGATTAGATCAGAGGTTTCCCAAGCTTCCGTAGCAATATATGTGTGGATCACCTCTTTGAGTGGGTGTCTCTCACCCTTTCCGTGCTGCTTTGCCTGTTTCAATCCAAGTGGGACATTTTTCATGACCTTGGTTCCAAATTCCAGGTGCTTGTTACTGTAGCTCTGGGTTCAGCTCATCCTTTGTGTCAAGCACTGGGGAGCCAGCTGTTAACTGGCCAGACACAAGGCCCTGCCCTCATTGAAACCTACAGGTTAGTGGGAGAGACAGAGATTAAGAATTAGAAGTGTGGGAATTCCCTGGTGGTCCAGCGGTTAGGACTCTGAGCTTCCACTGCAGGGGGCACGGGTTCCATCCCTGGTCGGGGAACTAAGATCCCGCATGCCACACAGTGCGGTCAAAAAAAAAAAAAAACTAGAAGTGTGATGGAGTTTACGAAAGTGGAAGTCAGGGTGCTGTGGGGCACACTGCAAGGGGAACCAAATGTGGTCTAGGGCCGAGGAAGGCTGCCTCGAGGAATGGTCTTTAAAGTCTTGAAGGATGAGTAGAAGTTAGCCAGGCAAGGAGTCGGGGTCGGGGGAATGTCTGAAGGCCCTGAGGAACTGAAAGAAGTATGTGTGGCGAGGGGAGGTGGGCTCAAAGTCAGGCAGGAGGGAGGCAGGGCAGGGCCAGAGGTGAGCTAGGTGGAAGATCTGGGGCTCTTTTATCCGGAGGACAACTTGTTGAGAAGCGTTTTCAGGTGTACGTTGGGGGCGGGGCATGACTAGCTTAGTATTTTGAGAGGATCATTTTGGCCGCATCGTGGAGGTGTGATTAGGAATGGGGAGGGGAGGTGGTTATGAGAACAGAAGCTGAGGGATCAGTCGGGAGGGTGTTGCCGTATTCCAGGCATGAGACGACTTTGACGTGGATTTGGGGATGGAGCATTGGGGATGGAGAAACTGGGCCAGTTTGAAAGATGGGGATTAGACAGGATTTGAAGTAGATTAGCAGTATGGGAGGAAAAGTTAGGGATTATTTAGTGTTGTAACTCCATGGGCACCAGAGAGGGGAAGCAGTGTTGTAAGTTCCCTGTCTTTGCTGTTTTACTCATTATGTGGGTGAAAGTTGCTCTGTGTGGAGTTTGGGAACCATGAACTTTCACTGAGATTAACGAGATTCTCAGAACCAGAAGATGCTTCCAGAGGTTGTGGCTGAAAAGTAAGAGGCTGGGGTGGATATTCCGTGAGGGGCTGATCTCAGGGCATTCCTGACAGAAGCAGTGTCTTGCAGGGGTTGGTGGAGGATGAAAGAAACGCAAGCCCTGGACCGTAAGACCTGTGAGATCCTTCACGGGCTCTCCCGTTGAACTGTCTGTGACTTGGAACCCCCTGCTCTTTTTTCTTTTTTTCAACTTTTTTCAATTTTTTATACAGTTTTTAAAGGTTACCTTCCACTTACATTTATTACAAAATACTGGCTATATTCCCCGAGTTGTACAACACATCCTTGAGCCCATCTTACACCCAGTAGTTTGTACCTCCCACTTCCCACCCCTGTTTTGCCCCTCTACCCTCTTCCCCACTGGTAGCCACTAGTTTGGAAGGCCCCCGCTCTTTGTGGCAGGGCTTTGTTGGGGGACAGCAGGAAGGAAAACTCGGGGATGACTCTGAGACTGAACTGGGTGCTAAACGATTAGTCTTCTCTGTCCCTCTGTGCCACTGGAGAAAAAAGTCAGATTTTGCTCTGGAGGGGAGGGGAGTGCAACCACTGCCCCTCTTCACAGCCTAAGAATATGCCCCGTGCAGCCACAGCAGCCTGCCTTTTGACTGCCGCGGTTTCCAGCCCCTGACCTCACAGCAGCTCTCTGTGTTTTCTGGCCTAGGAATTGGATTCAAGTACCTGGCTCTGGGAGACCTCATCATCCTCATCACCTTTGGCCCGCTGGCTGTGATGTTCGCCTACGCCGTCCAGGTGGGGTCCCTGGCGGTCTTCCCGCTGGTCTACGCCATCCCCCTCGCCCTTAGCACCGAGGCCATCCTCCATTCCAACAACACCAGGGACATGGAGTCCGACCGGGAGGCTGGCATCGTCACGCTCGCCATCCTCATTGGCCCCACTCTCTCCTACGTGCTCTACAACACGCTGCTTTTCCTGCCCTACCTGATCTTCAGCATCCTGGCTGTGCACTGCAGCATCAGCCTGGCGCTGCCCCTGCTCACCATTCCCATGGCCTTTTCCCTTGAGAGACAGTTCCGAAGCCAGACTTTCAACAAACTGCCCCAGAGGACTGCCAAACTCAACCTTCTGCTGGGCCTCTTCTACGTTTCCAGCATCATTCTGGCACCGGCAGGCAGTCTGCCCAAACTCTAAGGGGACCAGTAGCCGCACGCCACAACATGTCCCCCCTTTCTCAGAATGTGTTGAAGGCAGAGTGTCTGAGGAGGGAAGGTGATTTGGCAGTGAGGGGCTGAAGGATGGCTTGTGAACGCCCACCTGTTTTTATTATTACATTCTTAAAGAGAATGTTTTGTTTTTGTTATTTTATTCCGTTTTATGGGGACTCTTGAAACCACTCTGGTGTCAGAACGAGGTAAATTGGACGCATGGCCCTTGTTTTATTTATAATTTCCACTAGAGGGTGATGTCAGGTCACTTTTAGTGGGCTACGATGCCCTAAGACTTGGTGAAGGAACCGCGCAGACTGGCCTCCTGTCCTGAAAGAGCCATAGTAACTGGGCCAAGTGTCCTCTGCTCTTTTGGTCTGGTTTTACACTACCTGGAGAGAGAAAGTCCCTCATTAACAGCCCGACTGGGCTCTAGGCTTTTTGCCTGAATTGTGATTCAGACCCTTTTGTCCTCACTTCACTTATTGCCACAGTTGAGGAAAAGCATCAGATCACCCTGCAGCAGGACAGTGGAGCAGAGGGCTTGGAAGGAAAAAACAAAAACACAAAAAAATAACACCTTGGAGGCAGCTGAGAAAATCACTCTGCTTTTGGATAGAAACTGGTAGGGCGGCTGGTTTCCCCTTGTAGAGCCCACTGGCATGACAGGAAGGACTCCCAGCCCTTTCAGTAACTCGCAGCGCTCTGAAGTTGTTAAGGCCCTGGCTGTCCTTGCCGACTACTGAAGGCCCACAAGGCCGCTTCTTCGCCTGCCCCCATCGTGTTTCCTCGCACTCCCCTATGCCCGCCCTCCATTTCTTTCAGGTCCCCATTTGTGTGTCTCCCATCCGTGGAGCCCTGCTGTTTGGGCAGCAGCTTAGCAACTGAGTCAGGGATGGTTGCCCCTGTCCACAGAACCAGAGGAAGAGCAGACCAAGGACAGCAGCTCCTCCATGAGTGAATAAGCCAATGGTCAAACAGTCCTGACCCTGTTCAGCGAAAATGACAGGCTCATCAGTGAGGACACTGCATCCTCCTCCTTGAGGACAGATATACAATACTGACCCGGCTTTTCCCAAAGGCTTCAGTTGCCTTGTGCAGAGATAGTTTGTACCCAGGATGGGGGAATTCCAGCATTGATCAAAGCTGCCTCTTGTTTCAGTGTCTGTGAAGTATAACTTCTGGGCTAGAATTGCTTGGTTGCATTGGGTCCAAGACCAAAATAGATTGAGACCATCGTCATCATGCTTTTCTGTTGTGATTATAGCCATTCTGATAGGCATTTCAGGGTCTTGGCCTGCAGAAAATGACATCAGAACTAGCTCTTAATCCTTAAAATCAGGCCACTTATGATTTGGCTCCTTGAGTTAGAATTGGGCAGCTTACTTGGAAAAACATACTTGGAAATTGCAGAAGTTCCTGTAAAGTCAAGGGTGGTTTGTCTGTAGAGTTCCAGAATCTTCAAATAGTGGTCAGAGCCCAGTAATGAGGAAAAGGAGGACAGCCCTCTCTCCTGGCTGTCTTCTCCCAGCACCATTTTTGTTTTATGCCAGGCTAGTGGCATTTTGGTGCTCACAGGAGTCCTGCCTTCAAAGAGACAAGCTTTTCGGGCTCCTTCCCAGCAGGCCATTGTCACATAAGGCTCACCCCTGAGGCCGTCGGACCGAGAGCTCCCTGCGTCCACAGACCAGACCACCTTGGTAAGCCCTCCCTTCGGGGGTGTCAGTTAGCCTCTGCACTATGTTCTGGTGCAGGGTTTTTTTTGTTTTTGTTTTTGTTTTTGCGGTACGCGGGCCTCTCACTGTTGTGGCCTCTCCCGTTGTGGAGCACAGGCTCCGGATGCTCAGGCTCAGCGGGCATGGCTCACGGGCCCAGCCGCTCTGCGGCATGTGGGCTCCTCCCGGACCGGGGCACGAACCTGTGTCCCCTGCATCGGCAGGCGGACTCTCAACTACTGCCCCACCAGGGAAGTCCCTGGTGCAGGTTTTAATGCATATTTTTATATATAAATCTTTCTAAAAGGCCAAATTTGATGCCAGGTTTTATATGCAGGTCACTATAATTTGTACTACATCCCCTGATTCAATGAAGGTTTTCTTTAGACTTGTTAATAAACAAATTTTTTTAATTAAAAAAGGAAAATGCTTATCAGTGGTCTGGCTTCCCATTTCCCTGTGCTCTCTCCTGCTGCTTGCCTCATTGTCTGCTTGTGAACTCTGATTCATAAACCTCAGGAGACCAGCGCGGGCACATTCAGTGGGGAGGGGGTGGGGCGCCTGATCTTTGGCGGTGAGTTTGACCAGATTTGATGAGCCCTTAGGAGAGACAGTAGGGATTTGCCAAGAGCCAGGCAGGCCAGATTAACCTTGTTTCCTTCTGTCGTTTCCTACTTTCATTTTTCTCGAGCAGGTCACTGCTGATAGATTGGGAACGTGCAGCAGATAGAGGACATTTGGGTTTCTGCTGGGCATTTGACGGTATGTCCTCATGAACACAGCAGAGATACGTGGCATGGATAATAGTCTAGTTAGGTGAATTTCTGGGAGACTGAAAGGCTGCTTTGATGTGTGAAAGGAAAACTTTGCCATGAGTAAATACAGTAAGTCCCCTACATTCGAACAAGTTCCATTCCGAGAGCGCGTTCGTAAGTCCAATTTGTTCCTAAATCCAACAGAGTTAGCTTAGGTACCCAGCTAACGCGATCGGCTATATAGCACTGTACTGTAATAGGTTTATAATACTTTTCACACAAATAATACATAACAAACACAAAAAAGCAAACATTTTTAGTCTTACAGTACAGTACCTTGAAAAGTACAGTAGTACCAGCTACATCACCACTGCTTTTACGCTTGCTTCTGGACATCCTGGGCTTGAAATAAAGACACTGTACTACTGTACTCTATACGGTGCTGTCCAGTAAAGTACACAAGAGCACAACCACCTGTAGAGGATGCATGCACGCGACAGTGTACGCCAGACATATGAACTAACTTACGTGGTTGGACACGCGTCCGCATCTTTGAAAGTTCGCAGCTTGAAGGTTTGTGTGTAGGGGGCTTACTGTATAAGCAATACACTTGGGTCCCCCAAACCAAATATATTGGATTGGCCAAAAAGTTCGTTCGGGGTTTTCCATCTGATGGGAAAACCCGAACGAACTTTTTGGCCAACCCAATACAACATCAGAAGGGGAAGATCCATGGAGTGAGAGCCACAGATGTGGTGGGTGTTGATGACTCTGCAGTAGAGCATCACGTGCCTTTGTTTCTGTGAGTCAGACTTATTCTGCTCCCCAATGGGGGTGGCTGGAAATGCAGCCTTATTCACCTCTTGGGCCTGCTTCTGTCTCCCTGGGACCACCCAGGACCCCTGGGCCTCCGTGGGGCAGAAGCCAGAGATGCTGGCTGGGTCCTTGCTCCATGGGCTCGCTGTCTGTAAGGTTGCGTCCTTGCTGCTTCCTGCTGGGGCTCGGCCCTGGAATCTACCCTTGTTTCTTGGATACTCTGCGCTAGAAGGGTTCAAAATGCCCCTGACAGCAGCCTTCCTTGCCGAGTACCGTGGGCCTGGAGAGCCCTTGTCCCTGTCACTGCATCCCCATTTCTGCCCAGTTTTGGCAGAAGCTCCCACTTTCTCTGTGAACTACCTCATCCACCTGACCTACTCAGAGCATTTCCCTCCTTCCTCACCCCTTGCAGGACCTTTGCACAAAACCCCACCCAGGGGCCTTTAGAAGCTCAATGCTGGCCTCTTCCGAAGTGGAATGATGAAATACATCATATGTTATCTTACCAACTCTTCTGTTACTCCTTTATTTAAGCCAAAATCTGAGCCTGTGACCTGGCCCAAAGCACAGTTTGAGTCAGTGATGAGCTTTGGCTTCCATGTTGGTTAATGTGAGCCGAGGTGGAATTAATAGGTTAGTGTCCAGAACAAGGAAGGCTCATGTCCTGCCCATCCCTGTGCTGTCAACCACACATGGTGGGCTGCTGGGCCCATTCCTGGGCATGTTTCCTTCTTTCTTAGTTCCTTTTTTTAAAAAATTTATTATTTTTTTGGCTGTGTTGGGTTTTCATTGCTGCGCGCGGGCTTTCTCTAGTTGTGGTGAGCGGGGGCTACTCTTCGTTGTGGTGCACGGGCTTCTCATTGTGGTGGCTTCTCTTGTTGCATAGCACGGGCTCTAGGAGTGTGGGCTTCAATAGTTGCAGCACTAGGGCTCAGTAGTTGTGGCGCATGGGCTCTAGGGTGCGTGGGCTCAGTAGTTGTGGCTCACAGGCTCTAGAGCGCAGGCTCAGTAGTTGTGGCACACGGGCTTAGTTGCTCTGCGGCACATGGGATCTTCCCGGACCAGGGCTTGAACCCGTGTCCCCTGTATTGGCAGGTGGATTCTTAACCACTGCGCCACCAGGGAAGTCCTCTTAGTTCCTTATTTATTTATTTATCTATTTATTTATGGTTGCATGGGGTCTTCGTTTCTGCACACGGGCTTTCTCTAGTTGTGGTGAGCAGGGGCTACTCTTCTTTGCGGTGCACGGGCTTCTCATTGTGGTGGCTTCTCTTGTTGTGGAGCACGGGCTCTAGGTGCACAGGCTCAGTAGTTGTGGCTCACAGGCTCTAGAGTGCAGGCTCAGTAGTTGTGGCACACGGGCTTTGCTGCTCCGCGGCATGTGGGATCTTCCCGGACCAGGGCTCGAACCTGTGTCCCCTGCGTTGGCAGGCGGATTTTTAACCACTGAGCCACCAGGGAAGTCCCTCTTAGTTCCTTTTTTGATAGAGCAAATGTGATGATAAACCAAGAGCATGCCTTGGATGTAATACACTGGGATTTCAGCAAGGCGTTCAGCAATATGGGATGAAATGTGGAGTGCATGACAATACGGCTCCAGGAATTTCATTTCTACCTGCACACACATGTGTGTCTTCACACTGGTAACAGCTGCAGCAGAGATTTTACGTCTCTCAGTGTGGTACCACATTCTGAAGGTGTGTTATTCACAAACTGGATCTTGTCCAGAAAGCAGTAGGCAGACTGGTGAGGGCACTTAAAACCATGTCAGCATAGAAAGGAGAGGGATGTCTTGGGGAAAAGGGATTGGGGTGGGAGTGTGTGTGTGTGTGTGTGTGTGTGTGTTTGTGTGTGTGTCTGAAACTTCAAAGGCAAAGCTAGGGCCAACGGGTGGAAGTTATTTGATCTCAAATTTAAGCTCTGAGGTCAGGAAGAACTTTCTAACCATTAGAGGAATCAGCAAGTGAGATGTTTGAAACGTCCCAGTGGGCAGTGAGGTCCCTGTGACTAGAGGCATTCAAGCGAAAGGATGATTTCTTGTCAGGAACATTGAAGTGAAGAGTTGGACATCAGAGGGGGGTGTATGAGAAGACCTTAAGGGTCTTCCCATCCTGTGATATGGGTGTTCTATTATTATGGGATCATTTCTCAGACCTGCCCCCAGGGGTTGGAAGGACAGAGTACAAAAAACATGTTGACAGTTCTCTGTGATGTCAGATCATTGTCTGCCGACTTTAAGGGACACAGCTGTGATTGATATTACTTTCTTTTT